CAGATTAAGTTCCTGGCCGCTGGATGAGACTTTTGTAGGAAGTTTCCATATTTGATTTGGAAAAGGGTATCCTGTACACTCATGGGATCACTATGACTCACTTTGTTACAGTTAAGCTGGTTGTCCTTTACGCTGAGAATCAGTATCCAACCTCAATTCACACGTTGAAAATATAAGGCTGTATTTAAATTTTTGGTTGATATTAGGATGCTTGTATAACAACTTGAAATATGTTCTCCAGTACTGTCAACAGAAAAGTGAACCCTTGTAGGCTCTCAGTGTTGCTACATGGGAAGGTTGTCTTTGTAAATATGGTAACAATGTCAAAGACCACAAACCAACCAACCAACCAAAAAACCCTCTTCAAAGTTTAACTGCTGAAATTTTAACATTCAACACTGAAGAACAGTCAAAGTATGCTAAGTTCCACGTTTCATTTTAAATAGACCCAACAAATATCTCTCCAGCAAATATTTTGTCATGTTTTCACGTATTACCACGAAATTTTCTGCTGATAGTGCTTGAGCACACATTTTAAGACATTACACAGTCATCCTAGTATAAGTCTGAAAATTGAAATCTAACCTCACATTTTAAATGTGTGACTTAAGTCAGATCCTGATTCTGAGTTTAAATCAACTTAATAGTAATTCTGGATCTTGGTGTAGTGATTCAGTAAGCTTACAGAATTCTTTCTTCCAAATTTGTGCAGCTGCCGAAGACTATGTTCTGTTCTGTGGATTTCTTCATTCAGTTGATTGTACCTTTAGCTGCACACAAGCAGATCAGCTTCATGTACTCTCACTTATCAATTGCTGGCCTTAAATCTTAAGTAAATGGAGTTCTGATATTCAGAAAATCCATTTTTACACCTACATCTATCCTGTAGGTTGTTTCTTATGTTTTCTTCTAGCAGTTTTAGTGCTGCACCTTAGGTTTCAAATTGAGGTCTTTGGAGTTAATTTTAACGCAATGTTATACAGATATAGGGATAATTTCATTTTTCTGTATGTAGATTTTTATCCACTATTTGCTGAATATTCTGTCTTTCCTCCAGTGTTTATTTTTGGCACTTTTGGTCAAATATCAGATGGCTATAGCTATGTGAACTCACACTTGGCTTTTTAATTCCATGTATGTTGAACCATCCCTGTGTCTCTCCTGGGATAGGACTGACTTGATAGTGGTGGAGGATCTCCCTGATAACTGCCTGTATTCTGTTTGCTAGCATTTATTGAGGAGTTTTGTATCTATATTCATCAAGAATATTGGTCTGTAGGGTTTTATTATTGCTGTTCTTTCTTTACCTGGTTTTGGTATTTGAGTAATATTCCCTTGTAGAAAAAATTGGAGTATGCTGTTTGTTTGTTTGTTTCTTTTTCTTTCTTTGCCTCCTTTCTTTTTCTCTTTCTCTCCGTCTTTCTGTCTGTTGTTTTGAATAATTAAAGAGGTATTGATTCTAGATCCTTGAGGGTCTGGTAGAATTCTGCTGCCTTGTTTCTTAGTCCACTGAGCTTCCTACGTATTTTGTTTAAAAAGTTGAGACCATTGGTAACTACTATTGAAAGATGTGTGGATGGATGTGGAGACATGTGCCTTTAATCCCAGCACTCATGAGGCAGAGACAAGTCGATCCCTGTGCATTAGAGGCCAGCTGGGTCTACAGAGCCAGTCCAGGCCAGCCAAAGTTGTATAGTGAGATCCTGTCTCAGACAACAACAAAACAATAAAACATAAAGAAAAGCAAAATGAAAACACAACCAGCCCCTCAAACACCACCACTACCTCCCCAAAACAAAACAAAAATACCCCAGGGAAAGGTATATATAGATCATAGTGATTGTGCGTGCGTGCGTGCGTGCGTGTGTGTGTGTGTGTGTGTGTGTGTGTGTGTGTGTGTGCGCGTGTGTTTACTCCTGCTTTGTATTGTTGAATTATAGCTTCTTTTGTTCTCTTTGTATAGTTGCTTGGCTATGCTAATTCCTCTCTTTAGCCTGAAGCATTGCTTCTAATACTCTCTGTAGGGTTGGTTTTGTGGACATGAATTTTTTAAAAGCTGATTGTATCAAAGAAAGTTTTTTTTCCCCTTCCTTCCATAATAGCAAATAGTTTTGCTGGGTATAGTAGTCTATGTTGGCAGTCAAGGATTCTTAGAATTTGGAGTTCATTGATCCAAAGTCTTCTGGATTTTAAAATTCCCATTGAAAATTAAGCTGCCTTTCTAGTGACTTTCTCTTTAAATGTGACTTGTGTTTTTTTTTCTTTCCTCTCTTGTAGTTTTCAATAATCTTTATTTGTTCTGCATATTTAGTGTTTTATTTATAACGTGATGTGGGGGCTTCTTTTGTAGTCTTTTCAGTTTGATGTTCTGTGTACTTCTTGTATCTATAAGAGTGTTTCTATAAGGGAAAGTTTTCTTCTATTATTTTTTTTAATCTAACATGAAAACTTAAGGAATTACTCTTTCTGTGGTGTTACACACATTCTACATATTCATTTTCTGTACTTTAGTTTTTTCCACATTCTTTGATTGCTTTGTCTAACCTTCGATCTAGTCTATTTTTAAGGCTGTCTCTTGAGTTGTTTAGTTGGGTTATTGAGTTTTTCCATTCTGTTTCCATTTTAGCAGGAGATCTCTTTAATATTGCTATCTCCTTATTTAATTCTGATTTCAAACCCTAAATTGTCTTTCTCATTCCCTTCAGGCATATATTGGGATTTCCTTGAATGTCACACAGGCATTTATTGTTATCTTAAAGTTCAATGTGATGTCTGTGTCTTCTTTAATTTTCTTGAATTCTTTGATAAAGTTTATGATTGTCCTTTTAAATATTGTGTCCTGAGGTTCATCTAAGTAATTCTCAGCAGAAAACATTTCTATAGGACTACTGGGTTTGATATGACACATACCAATTTGGCTGTTTTATTGTGTTTGCAGTGTGACTTGTGAGTGTGAACTTTTTTCTGTGGCTGTGTGTTTGACATAAGAATTTGCCCTGCCTTAGACTGGGCCAGTGCAGTAGCTGGGTGACTCGAGCTGATGCATGAGTTCTTTGATTGGACTAGAACGGGCAAAGGTGGTATTCGAACCTTGATCTGTACTAGTCCTGTATGTGTGGATATGGCAAGGCTGATGGGACAGAGGAGAGATTTATCAGGCAGAGCTGGCTGTCAACCATAGGTCTGGAGAGAGCCTGTGGGAGTGGAGGTGGCAGAGAAGAGAGGGAAGAGCAGGAGAGGGAAGAAATGACTTAACCAGCAAAGGCAGCTTGGGAACTGAACCCTGACCTATGGAATAGAAGCTAACCGCTGAGCCATCTCTCCAGATCCAGAATTAGATTTCAATATGAACTTGGGAGGGGGTGGGCACAAACAGTTGAAGCCCAATTTCTAGCTATTATCCCAGAGTTTAGTTTTAAATTAAGTGACTTCCTGGTAGGAGGAATGTGTAGATGTGGGGTGTGGGGGTTGTACAAAGGACAGTCAACCAACAAGGGAAACTGTTGGCGTTTAGTCTAGTCTCTGCCCCACAGTTACCTGGCAACAGCCAGGTGTGCATGACTCACTATAAAAGGGGCTGCTTGCCCCCCTCCTCCTCGCTCTCTTCTCTTCTTGCTCCTGCTCTTCTCTCTGTCTCTGTCTCTGTCTCTGTCTCTCTGTCTCTCTGTCTCTCTCTCTCTCTGTCTCTCTCTCTCTCTGTCTCTGTCTCTCTCTGTCTCTCTCTCTCTCCCTCTCTTTTTCTCTCTCTGTCTCTCCATTCCCCTACTCCCTCAGTCTTTCTCTGTCTCTACTCCCTCAACTCCCCTCCCCATGCCCTGAACGAACTCTATTCTATACTATACCTTCTGTGGCTGGTACCTCAGGGGGAAGGGATGCCCCAGTGTGGGCCCACATCGGCAACTTCTTCCCCTACACCAAACTGCACCTCCACCAAACATACTCCTTCCTTTCTTTCTTTTTATAAAACACAACAGAAACTCCATATTCTCTAAGCATACTTAATGCTATAGTAACATATCAGGACAGAGAACTGTCATTTTAATTTATTGTGTGTTGCTTTGGTCATGGAATTTTATCACAGCAATAGCAACCTAAGACAATACTATTTCTGAGTTATTGATGCCAGTTAAATATAAGTGAGCTAATTTTAAATCAGGCTAACTGGGTGTTCCTAGTTCTACTCGGGTAGCTAGTGTTAGCGTTCTTAAGTCAGCATAATCGTGTAGAGGTATTCTTATCTTCAAAATTCACAGGCAAGGACAGGTGGTGGTCATTTTTATGTCCTATGCCTATCGGATCTTTGGTGTATGAATCAATGCACTTTACAACTGATGTTAGCCTGAAGCTCGGGTGTGGTTTTGATAAAAGTCACCCGTCCCGCACCTGCAGGTTTGTCCTAGTGGTTTCTGCAACACTTCTCTCCCTAGCTTGTAGGGTGGGTGTTCAGAGTACTTGGAGTCACTGGGAGAGCTGCTGTGAGGGAGAAAGGTTCTGGGTCCTCTCCAGCACGAGTTGCTTTAAGGAGAAAAGTAAGGTGGAGCTGTCACTGTACTACTAAGAAAGAGGAAAACACTCAGGTTAACTTTTTCTCTCACTTTCTAGTGAAGCTCCCGCCTCTTGCCTTCTGGGTCCTCGAGATGTGTAGATCTTCCCTTCCTAGAGTTGGCTGGTTGGGAATTGTAAACCCACTCACTGTCACCTTTGCGCGCAAAGGGAAGCTGGCTCGGCCCACAGCGCACCCCAGCGGCGGTCTGGATTCCTCCTAGCCTTGGCCACTTGGCTTCCGGAGAGCTCGCCAGCCAGCGCCGAGGCTGATGCAGAAAGCCGGTTTCCGCGGGACCCCGAGGAGGACGCCGGCCACCTGGGAACCTCGGGGACCTGGAGGGGCGGGGCTGAGCGAGCTCGGGGGCCGGCCCGCCTCTCTAGCTTCGCTGAAAGACTGCAGGGCCGAAGAAAGGCAAAAGGGGAGGGTCTCGAACACTGTCCTGCTCTTCTGAGAGAGAGAGACACGGCCGGGTGGAAATCTGGCATCCGCGAGCCGCAGAGACGCGCGGCAAACACCATGGAACGAGCGGGCCCCAGCTCGGTGCGATCGCAGCAGCAGCAGCGGGACCAGGACTGGGTGGAAGCGTGGCTGGATGATCACCGGGACTTTACCTTCTCTTACTTTGTTAGAAAGGCCACCAGGTAAGAAGAGGAGCCACAAAGGACACGGTCAGGGACTTGAAGCCTGACCTGGGGGCTGATCTCTCTTCCACATTGAATTTTCCCCTCGGTCCAACATTAAACCATCCCGGTTCTCAGGCCCTTTGCTTCGGAAGTAGCTTCTCTGTCCCAATGCGGACTGGAGTCCTCGACTTAAAGCGAGCACAGTTGAGAAGCGAGGTGTCGGATTAGAAACGACTTGCCCACGAAGTTAAAAACAAAAGCGTACACCCGGCCGGGGAGCAAGATTACTTTCACGCACGCTCACGGGCCTTCCCCACTTCCCCTCTACTCTCCCGGTTCCCCTCCCAAAACGGCTTAGCAAAAACCAAAACAAGTCAGAGCCCCTTCCCAGCGGCTCCGGAAGCACCGCTGCGGGCGCGTCCCTGTGGCCGCGCTCCTCCCCTGCCCGGCTTGCTCTGACCCTGGAGGGGCGGGGAAGCCGGGGGGTTCTGGACTAGGCCACTGGGAAGCCTGGATGCAGCAGCTTGCCCGGGTCGCCCTCAGTGAGGACTGTCGCCTTTGACTCCCCGATAGTCCCCCTGATCATCCCTCCTCTGGCCGCATAATCGCAAGGAGTTTCTTCACTGAGCTTTGCGGCGCGCACACAAAGGGCGGGAGGGAGGCGGCCGGGGCGGACTTGGGGACCCGGGGACCCGGAGCACCCCAGAGGCCAGTTCTTCCTGGTCGCGAGCCAAACGCCGGGAGGCCGCCTCGGAGGGCGTGGAAGAGGGAGCCAGTCCTTTAGGATCCGACTGCTTCACCGGCAGTCGGGGCGCGCGCAGACTTGAGAGTGGAGCGGAGGGACGAGAGGGTGGAGCGGAGTGCTTGGCGGGCGGGTCCCCCGGAGCTCCAGGAGTCGCCGCGAAGCCCGCGCGCGCGCTTGCCTCCCGCGCGCCGATCTGGGCAGAACAAGCTCTGCTTTGGAGAAGGGGCTGGAGCCCCGCCACCGGCGCCTTGGGGCAACGGCCGTCGAGCAGCTGGTGCTGGCCGCCCGAGCCGGGAGGGCGACTCTCGCCGGGCGGGGATGGTGGACGAGCCGGCGAGGACTCGCCCGCGCGCGGCCGCCACTCGGCCGGGCGCTGCCCGCCAGGGGGCGACGCCACGCGGGGTCCACAGCCGGCGACCCGCAGCGAAGAGGCGGCGGGGGCCGTAGGGGAGCCGGTCGGGCACCCACGGAACTCCACCGGCCCCCAGAATCTCCCGAGTACACCATCCGAGGAGTTCGGAAACGAGCGCCCCACCTTTGCTATGTTGCCCTTTGGAGACAAAACGAGGTACTTCCTTCATCATCCCGCTGGCCACTTTGCTTGGAGAGGGGGTGCGGTAGTTAACCAGAGCTGGGGGTCCACCCCGCACACCTGCGGGAGATTAAGCCGCACGATAGATGATGGGCCGTTTGACTTTGTGTCTCTCCTTGCTTTCTCACCGAGATACTTACTACATGGGGGTCAGTTTTCTCTTTTTCTCACCGAGCCTCTTTGGGACAGTTTTGGCATTTTGCTTATGGGTCTAGCCTTTAATGGCCGAGCGCTCTCTCCAGCCCAGATATGATCTAGGTACCCAGATCTCCTTTCACTCCCCACCCCCATTATGCCTTTTTCCATCAAATTCCCAGCTTAGAGGAGTCGGATGATAACACAGAAGGTAGAGCGGTTTCTTTTTAAAACATTGCTGGGAGTTTCAGCTGAAGCACCAAGACAGACCATCTCGACCTAGAATTATTAATTGCTGGGAACCAACAATTTCCAGGGGTCACTAGCTACTCTGAGACCATCTGTCTCCGGTGTCCTTTCACTGTACACTCCCATCCTCTGCTCCCTTTGAATTAGAGCACAGAAAATGGGGAGGGGCCAGAGAGCTGGGCTGAGTTTTAAAGTATGCTTTGGAGGTGTCCTTTAGATTGGCTGTTAACAGTTAAAAGCTAAAAACACAGCAAAAATGTCCCGTTCTTTGTTTTTCCCCCTCCGCTTTGAAGACAAACTATGGCGAGCTTACTGGAGGCTTTTGAGTGGTCCTAGGCTAGGACATGGTTAAAACCTTCCAAAAACCTTGAAAGAGCAGCAACATTGTAGTTGAAAGTAAAAAAAGCGTCGTTTGATACATTTACTATTACTTTTTCTCTCAAGCAGAAATTAAAATTACAAATAAAAATGCAATTAAGATCTCAATTACAATGATAACTGTAAAATTTAGATATTCTGAGACTCCAAAAGACTTTTTCAAGTTAGGACAGTATTTGGTGTGTGTACTTTGTGTGTGTGTGTATGTGTGTGAGTGTGTGTTCTTAAGAGTACAACTTGGACAATGAAAGTGTAAAATACTTTAAAATAACACAGACCTTCATTTTTAGGACAAAGTTCAGAAAGTTATTGGCATAAAGAACAATAATCTAGGAATTTTTATGTAGCCTGAGGGCCTTCTTCATGGAATGCAGTTTGGCTTTGTGCAGGCGACGTTAGCTGAAGGCTTTTAAAATAAGAATGGGAAGTTGGACACCAGTTGATTATTATTACTTTTTTTTTTAAAAAAAGCTACACTACCAAGTTTAGTGTGGTTCACATTATTGAGATAAAAATTTATTGTGTACAGTTTAACTTGGCAGCACAATTCTTTTAAAACCAGAAATCTGCATCATTTTGTTGTGCTTTGTAAGTATAAATGTATATGAATATGTCACAACTGTATGTGATTTCAGTCACCAGTTGTACAGAGAGGCATGTGAGACGTTTAAAGTTTTAAAATGAATTTAGGTTTGTTTAGGTTGCTCATCTGCAGCAGACATCAGGCTTTCTGATGGAAATGTTTCTGCATTTATTAGTTGTTGTCATTTGATACAAATGTATTATACACTCTTGATCCCTGGGCCCAGTTCTCTACATCGAAGGGTATTCCCGGATCATAATGACACTTCTGGCATTCCTGAATTTTCAAACACCTGTTTATTTTACTTGGACCTTGATACAGTTATGCTGTCAAGATTTTTTTTCTTAAAATTATCTTCAAACACACAGCTACATGCTGCAGTAATGGCTCTATTCTCTAACAAAGGGATGAATGGAAGCTTTTCAGTCGTCACAACCCATTTGTACGAATCTGAGTGTGAAAGTTGAGCAAGTTGTAACATCATCTATTGGCAGGAAAATTAACATCATTTTCCTAGTGAACTGTAAGTGGACACCTCTTACGCTCACTAATCTAAACAATTTAGACTCCTGCAGGACTGCATTCATTGGAGGTTTGAACAAGCAGATATTTACAGTGAAGACCTTCTTGAGGCTGAAGCCACTCAGTAGCTGTTGTTATTCTTCAAAGCATGTTCGAATAACGTTACCTTTTATTAGTTACTGGTCAAGTCGATGATTGTGGGTGATGTTTTAAGTCATTTAGTTTTGGAGGAGTGAGATGGTTGGCTTTTATTGCTTTGTTTGTGCCAGGCAACAGCCTGAGAATATTTGGCATATAATGGAGTCTTGAAGGAGGCCAAGCTTTATGGCAGTTTGGATCAAAGTCCAGGAACAGAAGGTTTACAGGTCCTTGTTGCCTCTTGTGAAATATGTCACACCACAAAGCTGTGCTGAATTAGTTGAGTCTCTGGGTCCTGTATATGGTATTCTTTGTTGTTCTCTTCTTGACCTTTTGTGTTTATTCCTTTTGGTACAGTACTGGGAATTACTTATGGCCTTCTGAATGCAAGACCAGTGTTCTGCCAGTTGAGCTATATCATACTCAACACTCAAAAATTTGTTATTTTCAGACAAGGTCTCATTAAGTTGTCCTGTGGTTTTGAACTCACTGTGTAGCCCAGGCTGAAGGTACCTCAGCTTCCCAAATACTTAAAAGCTGGTATTATGGGGATGGGCCACTATGCCTGGTTCTAAAGGATGTAACATTTTTATTTGTGAGATACATACATTAAACTTAGATGGGGGTGTAAAATAAATCTTGCTATCCATTCTTAAAATAAGCATTGCTATCCATTCTAAAAACTTACTGCTTCTATAATTACACAGGGATAGAAATGTTCACACTGTTCAAACAAATAATTTAATAGGTATATTTTTTAAAGGCAAGGCTGGTATTAAGAATATACTCTTCAGAGCACTAGCCCAGTCTGTGACTGTGTGAGTTCTTGTATTGAGAGCAATAAGTCTGGTTCAATAATTGCCAGGTCTCCTGTGTTCTCTTGGGCTGCATTATGTTTGTGCTGCCTTCTAGTCTCCAGGAAGCATTCTGATAGGCTTCAATTCTTCCTGCCTAGAAGCATCCATAGAAGCTCTTCAAACAATAGCATTTCCCAATGTCCTCCTGTCTGTGAGGTTTTCAGAGTTCTAGATCCTTCTTAGGGCCTGAACTATGTGATCAAGATTTGTTAAAAAACAACAAACAAACAAACAAACAAACAAAAAACAGTGGTTTCTTGCAGTATAAGTCATAAATGGATTATTTTGAAATAAAGTGATTTTTGTGTTATAATATAAACTTAACAAATTTGTAAAAATTCTATAGAAACTACTACTGTTTCTATGAGATCACATCTACAGTATTTTAATATTAGGAAACATTGGTGTTTTGCATACTTCAGGTATCATGATTTATTTTTCATGGAGTTAGAGATTATATCTATGATCCCCAGAACTGTAGACAAGTTAATTGTCCATCAGAGAACACTCAGCCCCAATTACCATTAAAATAATTCCATCTACATAGATAATCTCTAGTCCCTTACACTGGTTCTTTTTAAGATAATTAAACTAAAAAATCCTGTATAAAGTTGTGCACACCCTCCACATCAACGGCAGACAATGTGTTTTACTGAGACGCATCCCTTCCATTGTATTTGGAGACACAAATTATAGCTTTGCTCAAGCTGTCTTGGGTGTTTTAATAATGCTCCAGAATGATTTCCTTTGTAGCGGAAAAGACTAAACAGAACTCGATAGTATTTATTTGTTTCTCTCCCAAACATAATTTATTAAACT